GTGACATTTCCATGCCTTGCTTTGGGAAAGCAGAATTTGTTTCTATGTGTATAGAAAAAAAATCCCTATGTACATTATTAGAGAATCGAGGATTCCTAAAATAGTTCAATGACTTCTGTCCCTGTTATGCTGCTTATTGCTTTAGGTATTAAGTATTATGCATTTATGAAACAGGAAGATTTGGTAGTCCATGCTATCTTGCACCATCAATAAGCCTAAGTATTTTAATTCAGTTACTACTCCTAGAGCCTTGTCCAAGTTAGAAAAAAAAGTTTTTATTATTGGAAATTATGTTCACATATTATGTACTATTCATATACATTAAGGACATATCCCAATATGGACAAGGTGAATATGAGTACTTAATACATACCTCATACCATATGTATGAGCCTAAATCCATTAGATTTACAAGGAAACTAATGTTCCCTCATTTCTTTGTATAGCAGAATTCCAGTGCTTTTATAAAAGCTTCTGCAAGCTTATAGTGTAGTAACCAAATGTTACTGAATTTAGGCTCACAATAATGGTAAAACACAATCTCACAAAGCATCTGTTCATATACTATATAAAAACATTCTGGTAACCTTATAGAGCAAAACTTTTGGTAACCTGATAGAATAAAATTACAGTTGTCAACGGTCCCTTGATATTAGTTTAGTTGATTCCTGATACCTTCACTTTGCAGTGGCTTCCTCTGTGGAAAAGCATTAGAGCCAACTTTTCACTTGCATCCTGCAGGATAGTTAATACTTCTCTGTAGGGCTGCCGTAAAATACGGAGGAAAGGAATTGAGGTTGGAGTAAGTTTTCCATTGCTTCCCCTCTTTATTTTTTAAGTCATGGCACTCCTGTGACATAGCTAATAGCACAGAAGCACAAAAGGCTTTTCTGAGCATTTCAAAACAATGTGATCTTTCACTCTTTCTTCATAAAGATTTCAAAACTCTTACCAATCATAAGAAAAGCTTGAGCCCCCTCACCCTCTGCGGACCAGGGTGGTGCCTGGAAGCCCAGTCTTCCATGGSTTCCTGCCCGCCCTGGTGCGAGGCTCTGCTGGAAGGGGCAGCCAAACTACTTGCATCCCTTTGGTGACATATCTTTAACCATTTCCTATGGTTCCTGATTGCCTTGGTTTGCCTCTAGCTCCAAGAGAACCCATTCTCCAGCAGCAAGATCTAGTCCAGCAGGGTATGCAGCAAGACCCACTCATGCCCTCCTGGGGGTGCTGAGGTCTCTGTTGCCTTCTGGGGCAAAATAATGACAGGACGGGCTTAAAAGACTGGTTTAAAGGTTTAAAGGACTTTTCCGTGGTCTGAAATACCTTGGAGATTCTCAGTTGAGTACTCTCTGAATGCCATAAACACACATGCGTGCACACACACTGATGTTAGGGACATTCCCCTTGCAGGGGATAGTTGTTCCCATGGCCCATCTTCAGTTGATGCCTAGAGGAAGTTCTCCTCCCCGATCTGGAAACATTCCTAAATTTCCTCCATTTCCTTTTGCATCCCCCTCAGCCTTTTTTCCCTTTCTCCAAGCACYGAGAGTGATACCAGGACAACCCAGCTACACCCCAGTGCCCCGTTCTTCCCGGCCATCACTCTGAGGTGCAAGTGCAGTGCTTCCATCGGCCCCACGCTTTTGCTCCATCCGTCGCTTCGCCTCTTGATGTCGCGGAGCAGCGGGGCCTCAGCCAGGGCGGCCTCAGCTCTCCCAGGAGGAAGCAACGGCCCCAAAACTCTCACCTTCCCCTGGGGCAGCAGGCCCGCGGCAGCGACCGGCACCCGTGTCCTCCGCGCTCGCAGCCACAGCGCGGGGAGCCAGGGCCGCCCTCCTGAAGCGGCGCAGCCTCGCGAGAGGCGTCGCACCGGTGTCCGCCGTCAGTGGCCGAATGGGCTGCCCGGGCACAGCGGCCGCCCCGCGGGGACGTCCTGCCTGGGTACCGGCATGCAGGGGGCAGGCGGGGGGGCAGCAGACTCACCCGAGCCGTCGCTCCCGCGCACGGGACTGCAGAGCAGGAAGATGCCTGCGAACAGAGAGGACGAGCTGGTTGGGGCGGGCAGGGGTGCCTGCCCCGCCGGCCCGGAGCGGCCACCGCGCTACCCACCTAGGAGAAGCGGCACTGGTGACATGGCTGCGGGACAGGCTCGCAYCTTAGGGCAAAGGGGAGAGAAACCGTCAGCCGGCTGCGGCTCGGTTCCCTAGAAGGGACTCCCTGCGCAGCRAGCAGCGCGCCCAGCGGTCCGCCCTACCGCGCACTGCTGCCCGCGCTACCGAGAGCACCTCCGCAAAGCTGAACAGCGGGCGGCGGCCCCGCGCGCTTTAAACCCCTCCCGGGGCGCATGAGCACTGGGCAGACACGGGCGTGGAGCGAGGGGAGGAGAGAGCCCGGCCGGCAGCTCCGTCCCCGGTCCTGGCCCGACAGGTGCTGTTGCCCTCCCCCGGCCTGTTCCTTGCCAGCCCCCGCGCCTCGGCCGGGATGTAGCCGAGCGTCTCGCCACCCCGGCTAAACGCGACCACCACTCTGGGCGCCGAGGCACCGAGCTGGCTCTGTCTGCTCAGTCCGCGCCCAGGTGCCAACCCTGTCCCATTCATCCGGGTTGCGCACTGAGAAGCAGCACTTCGTGGCTGCTCCCATCTCCCTGCCCGGTGTCCCCCGCCGGCCCGGCCCGCAGAGGCTCAGCTGTCCCGCACTGGCAGCGGCGCACTGCAGATACCTGTTTGCTCCACAGCATCTGCCCTCTCCTCTTCTACGTGCACCTTTGGAATATTTGATTCCCGGTGTATTTATTTCGGGTAGTTTAAGAAACTCAAGCGGGCTGTGTGCCTCTGTCACAACATCCGTCTGTCCTTTAAGAGCTAAGGAAAGCGGAGAACTCTAACGAGGAGCAGAGCCACTTGTTCTGGTCTCGCTCTTTGCTCAAGAGCGGCGAGAGCCGCGGCGCGGGCAGGACAGCGGCCACCGCGCATGGCTCCGCTGCCGCGCCGGGCACCGCGGAGCCCTAGTTCCGCGCTCCCGTCTCTCAAGGAGCTGCAAGAGCGTTGTCGCCTCGTTTGTATTTGGTCTAAAACGTTAGCKTTAAGTATCGCAAGACTTTATCTTCGATTTTGTTTAAGCAAATTAATGAAATCATTTTAGAGCTTGCTTCCTTTTAGTAGCTCAATGCATACATGCTTAGGTGATGTAAAAGATTAGCTGGCATGAATGCGGAATGATCAGATTACTGCGAATGACTCGGAGAAAGCACTATAAACTAATCTCCATGCGGATCCTACTTTTTTTTTTTTTTTTTTTTTTTTTTTTTTTTTTTTTTTTTTTTTTTCCTTCTACCAAACGCTTTAGAATCCTGTTCTTTGCTGCCTGCGGACATTCACTGCTCACTTTTGCTGGAAGAGCTGTTCTGGAAAACCAAGTTTAAAGAACATGCATTTGAACTTATAGAGATGGCCGTGCTAGCTGGTTTGCCAGGGCAGGCAGTCAAGTGCAGGCATCACAGCGGCTCAGGGAGTGAGTCCACACGGCTGCAGCGCCGTTTGGGGGGCTTCAACCAGTGTTATTTGCATCGGGGTATTCGAAGAGCTGGTTGCTTCAAAATGCACCTTGTGAAATATTTCCTCAGATAATCTAAACGAAATCCACGTGAGAAACCGTGTGGCACTTGAACGAATCAGCGATCTGGTCAGGGATACTCTGCACGTGCCTTCTGCATGACCGGGTAAGCTATTTTTATTTAATTTTATTTTTTTTCCCAGAGTTTGACTGAAGTAAAGTGATGAGGATAGGACCTGCCGCCCCAAGCTTTGATCGTCCTAGAAACAAATTTCTATGCTTCCCACACAAGGAAAAAATAAAAAGAAAGGAAAAAAAAATAGGAGGGCAAAAAGCGGCGATGTTTCATTTCTGGCCTGGCCTCCTCCTCCGGGATCGGCTCAAACGCAGGATGGCTGAGGCAGCAGGTGCAGGTGTCGGGAACCGGTGCGGGCGCTTCTCGCGGCGCCTCCGTGTGCCCAGGGCCGGGTTCCGCGGCTCCTGCCTGCGCTCCACGCTCTCCCACGGCGGGACAATCACCTCGCCTCTCCGTGAGGAAGATGGGGCAGCTAAAGCGCTCTCCCCGGGGCGCTCACGGCAGATAGARAAAAACAAAAGTATTATTGTTATTCTTTTAAGGAAGATTCCTGGAACCTAAGCAGTGTCSTACGGCACCCCGTTGGCAGATGTTGCACTCGGAGGCCGGGGRGGTGTAGGGAGGGGGCACTAAGATTTACTGCCCTCTTCCCTTTCTGATGTCCTTTCTCTGTCGTCCTCTGCTTCCCCTCTGCGCAGGGAGGCGGGGGTGGGGAAGAGTGTTCCTGGCGCCCTTCTGCTCGCCCTGCAAGCTGGGCTCAACGAAGCCAGCAGAAAGAAGCGAGTTCAAGGCAAGGGCTCCCTGTGGTTGGCCCTGGAGGAGCCCCAGCTGTTGGCTTGTTGTGGCATCCTGGCTGATGGCAAGAGCRAACTAAAGGCTGAGCTCTTCTCACACAGGTTACCCCACCTCAGCTTTATGATCTGGTCAGACTTCCCTGCAATGTATTACTTATTATTCTCCAGCAGAGAAAGGCAGAGAAACAGGGAAAGGTATCCCATTTATTCTGGGAAATACGACAGATTTTGCCTGAAATGAGAGACACTGGCTGTCCTTGCCATAGAGCACCACAAAAAACCCTCTGTCCGTTGTGTAAAGGAAGGCTTTGTGTAAAGTTCAGAAAGGACAAAACAAGGTACTAATTAAACTTTCAGCCCTACATACTAGTTCATGAGTGCCTCGTGCCTTGAGGTTCACTCACTAGGGAAGTATATTCACCCATTCTCATTGCAATCCTCCCTTTCCTCATCTGTGACATTTTCCTTTTCCTTTTATTCCCCTTATCTTTGGGGAAGTTTGTGTTATTTGTGTTTTCTCACTCTTGAATCTTTACTGTCTTTTTTTCTTCTTCTTAGATRCCCAACATGTTAAAAAAGCTTTTAATTTGTAGAAAGCATGTATTTTTTTCTGGATTTAATGTACATACTGTATCTGGCAATATGGCAAATGTTATCTAAGTGTAAAATATTAATTACCATTACTAATTGCAGGACTATAACAATGAAAAATCCATCTTTCTCTTGTAACCTCCTCACAAAATTTAGAGGAAGTATTGTGCTCCAGGAAATGAGAAGATGGCTACATAAGAAGAAGCCTGTTTCTTACTGCAATGCTTGTCACTCACTACTGGTGTTGTCTTAGGGGCATCATCTACCCTCTTGTGAGTCTTGCTTCCTTCTTCAGATCTTCAAATGTGGCTGATGACTCTAGATGTGTCTGGTTTTGGAAGCTTAGGTTGAGATATCATGAATACCCTGATTAGCAAAGAGCTAAGGTCAGTGCTTTTTTTTCAGATTAAGCTCTATTAATGTGTTTCAGACTGACCATCCTAAAATAGATGTAGTTAAAAACACCAATCATTTTGGAGCAATTTTGGCTATTACAATGTAGTTGGTGAACAGGCTATAATTTTCCATAAGAGGATATATATTTTCACAATCATTTTGAAAATGCTTTTTTTGAATGCAAACATGGAGGACTCTTAAATAGTTACTGATGGCAAAGGGAAGCCCTGCTTTCTTCTGCACATTTATTCTACCTCTCTTTGGACAGCTATTACTGTTTGCATAAGACCCATCTTCCAGTCAGAAGACAAGTTTTTACAATGAGAGCTGGGCTCTGAGATGAGAGCCGAGATGTGTTTTGTGGAAGCAGAAGATGATTTCCAGCCATTTCAATTCCTGTTGCTACAGGTAGCACTTCTAGTCTGGGAATCTCACCTGTCTGTTCAGCCCAGAGGCTTTGCTGCCTTTTTTAAGGGCACAGTAAACTCTCTCAGAGAAGTATGTGTTTTTGAGTAAGCGAGSTACATTTTTCTGCTTCTTATAAACATTATGTTAATTCTGAATGGGAAATGCCTAGTCAGAGCGCAATTGTAGTCGTCTTGCTGTTGTTGAGTGTGTGGCTTCTGTTATTTCTGGCTCTGCAGTAGTGAACATGCTGTTCCTTCCACTTCCTTTGGTAATAGTCATCTGCACAGTCTGAGGGTAGTCTTGGGTACCACACATACAAACACGTACACACACACACATACACCCCTCTCCACCAGGCTTTAAGAAATGATTTCTTTGTCTTTCCTTTTCACATATACAGATAGGCAGACAATATTCTGTATGGTTCATAGAAAGGCATTTTCTGATTGAATTTTAAGAATGAAAGGATGAATTCAATGAATTCACTTTATCTTCTTATATTTGAAGCAGAATAGAAATTAAAAAAAAAAAAAAGCCTTGCATCGCAATTTGAGCTGTTAGTTTTTCTCTTGATTGCTGTGATTCATAAAAAGAAATACATGATGATATGTCATAAATTTTGTGTATGAATAAAATCTAACACTTATGAGTGAATTGTTTGTTTGTAATTTGATTTATATCCCACAGTTCAGCCTTTSCAGGGCCTCATTCAAAAATCATCATTGTTGGTGAGACTTTTTCCAACTCTTTACCTGTTATAGATGAATTGCTACTTATGACCAGCACAAGGTGAAGTGGTAGGTATYTTTCTCCTTCATTACTTTATCAACCTGTCAGTCATCATGAAAACATTTTTCCCTTCCATAGTTTACCAATGCATTTTTTACCATGGAAATGCCTAACATTGTAATTCCAGACTATGGGCTTTTGGAAACACAGCCCCTCAGTAACTGCTGCACAGACACAGACAGGACAGGCAATAGGCAGGACTGGAAGTAAAGTGTTTAACAGCTTCCTCCTTTAAGCCCTTCTCTCTCTCTCTCTCTCTCTCTTTTTTTTTTGTAATATATATATATTGCTTCTTTCTTTTCACACGGTATTCTGTCTTGGTAAAAAAGTCTTAAAAACTTATTCAGATTATGAAATCAAAAGAAAGGAAATACTTTCTCCTCAAAAAAAAAAGAGAGATGAAAAGACAGAAAGAAACAATGCTTCCCTTATTTTTATATGATGCTGGCTACACAKTTTCACTTCAGTGAAAACCATTCTTTTTTCCTGTCATCTGTCAATATTTTAAAGAAATGTAAAACATTTTAAAATAAAAAGCAGTGCCTGAATTAGTGGTTATGCATTTTTTTTTCTCAAGCA